GCCATCTTGACTGGAATCCTCCACAATCAAAAACTAAAACTTTTAACAAGTCAGAATACTTATCCTATCTAATAAAAGACAAAAAGGGTAATTGACCGTACCTTTGCTACACTTCCCATTGGCTAATCAGTGCCATATGCAAATTAATTTGCATACTGCAGGCAGGGCTGGCCAGTGCCACACGCCCTCTGGGCCAGGTGCGGCCCTGGGCGCTGGGCTTAGGGGGCGCAATTGTGTCACCTAAGCCCCACCCCAACTGGGACTCCCATGTGCCACCGAAGCCCCATGCTGCCTAAGCCCTGCCCCCAGCCAGGACCCCCGTGTGCCGCCTAAGCCCCGCTGCCAGCTGGGACCCCATGGCGATCCCAGAGCAGGCAAGTGTGGAGGGGAGGGTGGCAGGCGCCCCGGTGGGCCTGCTCCTGGGATGCCATGGCGATCCCAGAGCAGGCAAGTGCAGAGGCCGGCCCCCAGGTGGGCCTGCTGCTGGGATGCCATGGTGATCCCAGAGCAGGCAAGTGTAGAGGGCGGGCGGCCCCCAGGTGGGCCTGTGTCCAGGCCAGCGCCACGTAGTAGCCATCACTGCCAAAGAGCAGCCCCATGAGCACACTGAGGATCATCCTGACATATTTGTAGCTGCTGTAGGCCAACAGGTGGAAGGTGCTCAGGTCACTGTGAAAGGTGGCCAGGTAGGGTGGCGGTCCCAGGTGGGGCTGCTCCTGGGATTGCCATGGCGATCCCAGAGCAGGAAAGTTCCCCACAGGCAGCACCCAGCAGGGCCTGCCCTCAGTCTCTGAAGTGATCCAGTGATCCATGAGCAGGGACACTTGCTCCGAGCCTCTGCTACCAGACTGTGGCCGTCAGTAGGACATCCACTGAGGGCTCCCGGACTGTGAGAGGGGCAGGCTGGGCTGAGGTAACCCCACCGAATTTCGTGCACTGGGCCTCTAGTTTAAAAAATAAAATGCCAACAAAGTGATATTACCAAAATAAATACTACTGCACTTAACATGTACCACTTTGCATTTACAATTATCTTCCACATGCGTTATCTCATTTACATCTTCCCATCATCCTATGAAGTAGATGTTGCCTCCATTCCACCTGATTTCACAGTGAGGAAATTGAGGATCTGAGAAGTGACTTGTTTACAAAAGGTGGAATTAAGATCTTTTCACTCTAGTGTATTTTTTTTCAACACCATTTTTTTTCTTTTTTAAATTGATTTCAGAGGGGACACGAGTGGGAGAGAGATGGAAACATCAGTGATGAGAGAGATCCATTAACTGGCTGCCTCCTGCCTGCCCCACACTGGTGATCAAGCTCACAACCCGGGCATGTGTCCTGACCGGTAATTGAACTGTGACCTCCTGGTTTTAGGTCGACACTCAATCACTAAGCAACCCGACTAGGCTATAACACCATTTCAGAGAGTATTCTTGATTCAGAGAGTATTCTTGAGTCCTTACTGTCGATGAGGCAAAACTTTGGATTGTAGTCTGAATCTTTCTGTTAACCCTGCTGCCATTGTCATATTTGTTGGGTAATCTATTTGGTGTTAAGCACTACCCTCTATGCTCTTAGGCACTCTCAGGCCTTGCAGATAATCTGTCAAATAATCCATGGATTCTGTCATCAAGGAGTTCGCTCACAGTAGAGAAAAGAGTTATGCATATTAAAAAGGTAACTATTGGACATCACTGGAGAATCAAAATAGTACCATTACTCTTTCTCAGGAGAATAGTAAGCAGTACTTGGACATAGTCCAACAATCTTATCACAGCAATAAGCTCCCTTTGTTTGGCATGGGGCCCATGCTTTCTGGGCCTAGTAATCAAGGGACTCTAATGAGTAAGAGAATTCTTATAGAAAACTCATAATATACAGTGGCAACATAGAGAGGAATCATGTATTGTAAAATTTAGTTTTGAAAATTCCTTACATGGTTTTCAATATATAACCCAGAGCAGTGAATGACATATGTAAAATGTTCAAGCGTATATTGATTGCCTGTATGCAGTATGAGATACATGTATAAAAATTTTAACAATGTTTTTAATTATATTATTGAATTTGTATAGGATTCAACTCTCTATCCTTTGGCCATGTGATATCCACCATGTATATTAGATAGTTTTATGGTATGAAATTAGAGAGAGCTTGTGTTTAGGAGTATTTTGTTTGCTTGCTTTTTTCAGGCAGAAACTTGCGCATTTTCACATGATAAGTGTAAAGACTCAGTGAGTAAAGAGAAGTGGAAAATACAAAACAGGAGACAGAAAAAGATGGCATCCAGGGGACCTTAGAAATTTTCTGACAAAAAACAATTATATTAACTGGATTCAACCTTTGGATAGTTTCTTTAACCTCTCTGTGCTTTAGTTTCACCATCTCTAAAATGGGGATAATACTTTGACCTACCACACGGGGTCGTTTTAAGGATTAAATTAGTAAATACAGCAAAGAGACCCTGACACATACTAAACGTGAAATAAATATTCGCTGTTATTTGTTTTCTTTACATTTGCACTTTTTCTTATATATTTGATCAGTGGTTCTTTATATAGTTTAAATTATATTTTCTTTTTTTTAAATATATTTTATTGATTTTTTGCAGAGAGGAAGGGAGAGGGATAGAGAGTTAGAAACATTGATGAGAGAGAAACATCAATCAGCTGCCTCCTGCACACTCCCTACTGGGCATGTGCCTGCAACCAAGATACATGCCCTTGGCCGGAATCGAACCTGGGACCATTCAGTCCGCAGGCTGATGCTCTATCCACTGAGCCAAACTGGTTAGGGCTATATTTTCTTATTTGTATAGTTAAGCTTGCCTATACTTTTGTCTACTTGATTAATAAATAGATCTACTTACAGTAGTACTGTATTGTCCTATTATAGTCTAACTAGGGGCCCAGTGCACGAAATTCGTGCACTTGGTGTGTGTGGGGGGGGAGGGTCCCTCAGCCCAGCCTGCCCCCTCTCACATACTGGGAGCCCTCAGGCATTGACCCCCATCACCCTCCAATCGCAGGATCGGCCCCTTGCCCAGGCCTGACGCCTCTAACAGAGGAGGCGTCAGGCCTGGACAGGGGACCCTCATTTCCCCCCCTCACTGGTTCTGCCACCAGCCCAGGCCTGATGCCTCTGGCCCCA